TTCTTCTTGAGTCTGTGGTTTGATTTCTTTTACCAGTTTTGAAAATTCTTGGCTATGATTGCTTCAAGTATTGTTTTCATATGTCTCTCTTTACTCTCCTTATGAAAGTCAAATTATGTGAATATTAGACTTTTTCACCATGTCATATGTTTGCAAACTGGAAAAACAAAATGGAGATGTATGTAAAGTTTCTAAGCTTGAGGAAGCCACCATGACTAACCACCACTACCTTCTAAGAATGTCTTTTGCTTTGAAAACTAATGAGTTCCTCTTATTGGAAAACTCTAATCTGGAATCACAAGCGGAAGAGGATTCCAGCAAACACAGGTCTCAGCCACAGATGGGGGCTCCAATGCTAACTGGACAATGGACAATAAGAGATGTTAAACTTTAGGCCATAATAATTTAAATACTCACAGGGTCCTTACAAAGTAAATAAAAAGCTTTTCTATCCCTCAAACCAAGGGATAGAAAGAAGCAATGAGCAAACGCAGTATGTTTGTACATACTGTAGCATTTATCTCAATGGCTTCTCTTCCAATAAAACTATGTAACAGACCTATTTTTTTTCTTCTTTTGAAAGAGATATAAGCCTCCCTTTCTTTTTTTCCTCAGAGAAGTCCAATTTTAAAGGCAAGCCTTACACTACCAACAGTAGGTGTATTCACACTGTCAGAAATATCTATAATGAAATTGGATTTTAGGGAGAAAATCTGTTTTTCAGCTATTTGTTGATATTCCACATTACTGATTCCCAGAGAATGTGGAAGAAATGCTTATATTCCCCAAGGAAGTGTATCTGAATATTAAGAAATTCTGTTTTATTTTCTAGAATAAATCTCAGTAATTCAGATTCATCTCCCTACTCCCCACCCCTTCTACGACTATGAGCCAATGTTATTAATGAAAGTGTGTCTTATTCTGGGAGATAATAGGCCCTGACAATTGGCAGGATGCCTCAGTTTCTTGCCACGTGGACATCTTCACAAGGTTAGTTAAGTATCTCTACAATATGGGACTTGGTACCCCCAGAGCAAGTGATCCAGGAAAGGAAGGCAGAAGGAGTGATGTCTTTTATGACTTGTCCTCAGAAGTCACACACCAGTATATCCACTGTATTCTTTTGGTTATATAAACTACTCCTATATGATTAATATCACAAAATACTATACAGGGGTGTGAATACCAAGAAGTAAGAATCACTGGAGCCATCTTGAAGGCTGGCTACCATAACCAGTCAATAAGAAAAATAAACCGGGGAACTCTCAGTCCCAGAGGGGTGTGGTTTACAGCTCTCCGGACTGCTGTAGGACTTCAGCTGTGACCCACGGAAGGACGCCAGAAGCCACTCAAGACATCCACAGTGACCCGGTCAGTGCTAGCCATGACGAAGACTTTTACGTGCATATACCACTTCCTTGTTCTGAGCTGGTATATTTTCCTCAATTATTACATCGCACAGGATGAAGCAGACAAAGTGAAATCCAAACTCTTTGCAAATGGTAGCAAGTGGAAATACATGACGCTGCTTAATATACTTTTGCAGACCATTTTCTACGGGGTTGCCTTCCTGGATGATGAGCTGAGAAGAATCAGAGGGAGAAAAGACATGACGTTCCTAACTGCCTTCAGAGACCTGCTTTTCGCCACACTGGCTTTTCCTATATCCACATTTGTATTTTTGGCATTCTGGATCCTTTTTCTCTACAATCGAGATCTTGTTTACCCCAAGGCCCTAGATACTCTTTTCCCAGCATGGCTGAATCATGCAATGCACACTTTCATATTGCCCATCACATTGACTGAAGTCATCCTCAGGCCACACTCCTATCCATCAAAGAAGACAGGACTCACCTTGCTGGCTGCTGGCAGCATTGCTTACGTCAGCAGGATCCTGTGGATCTACTTTGAGACGGGTACCTGGGTGTATCCTCTGCTTGCCAAACTCAGCCCTGTGGGGCTAGCAGCTTCCTTCTCTCTCAGCTACATCTTCATCGCCAGCATCTACCTACTCGGAGAGAAGCTCAACCACTGGAAATGGGGTGACATGATGCAGCCATGGAAGAAGAGGAAGTGATTGCACAGCATTTTCCAAGAACCAAGAAGGAAGAAAACACAAGGGATTTTTCTCGTCTTTTTTTTTTTTTTTTCTGGTGGAGAGAGGTGGTGGAGCAACATAGGAAGGTAGGAGGGACAGGGAGTGACAAACTTAGTACGAGGGTCGTGAAGGTAGCTTAACTTGAGAACTCTTGGTTTTATGAAAAGTTGATTACACAGGCTAAAAACAACTCCTGCCGTCTCAGAATTAATTACTTTTGTCTGACTTTCATGGAGGATGGTCTCTGGTTAAAATCTGGGCAAAGGCCGAAAAAACCCACATAAACTTGGTATTAGAGAACACCTAGAGAGAGAGAAAGAGGAACTTAAGAGTCATTTAAACCCTTCGGTTTAAAGAGGAGGATGCTGAGGATGTAGATGAGAAGTTACCTGTGCAAGGCAAAAGGGTTACTTAGCGTCAGAACCAGGACAACGACTTCTGTCTCCCAGATCTCCTAGCTACCAGTCCTGGGCCATTTTTTAAAAATAATCCCAACTTTTCTTTAAAAAAACAGGCATTTCAGTAAGCTGATTATTTTCATGGATTGCTCATCTATTTTTTCTCAATAATCTAAAAATGAAGGGAGGTGGCTGGTACTGAAGCTCTCTGTCTACTTGAGATAATAGCAAATTAATTGGAGGCAATGAGAAAGTAAGTTATAAAAAATACTGGGAAATGTGTTTCTCTTCTGAGCAAGCATTCAGCGCAGGTATAAACATCCAACATAGTGACATTGTCAAAACCTCTTCCATTGGAACATTGACTAATTCATCAAATAAATGTATTAATACAAAAAAAAAAAAGAAAAATAAACCAAACTTTATAATTTTGTTGGACTTCTTCCAAGTTGGTAAACATTAAAATATTACAAAACAGGAACTGAATCAATGACTTTTTAGTATAATTTATTATTAGTATATATATGTCATACTCTTTCCTGATATACTGTATATCATACTCTAGTGAGAAATGTTAAATTGTTTAATACATTGAAAATAAAGATTTTACCTTTTTTTTTTTTTTTTTTTTTTTNTTTTTAAAGATGGGGTTTCACCATGTTGGCCAGGCTGGTTTTGAACTCCTGACCTCAGGTGATCCACCCACCTCAGCCTCCCAGAGTGCTAGGATTAAAGGCGTTAGCCACCGCGCCCGGCTAAGATTTTACCTTTTTATGTCTGTCAACATACATGATTCTGAAAGTAAAACTTGAAAAGAGTAGGATAAATCTATTTTCAGGGAAAGCATGTTGTGAATCTTCTTTTCTGTTGTTCTCAGTTATTGGTGGAATTCAAGAATGTTCTGCTAAAGGAATATACCTAGTAAAGGAAACATCCAGGTAAAAGTAGAATCAGCTTGCCATCCTTGTTCTAATATACCTTTCACAAGCCTCTTCTGAAAGTAGTTCAAACAAACATACAGGGTCATCATTAATTATCTTCCTGCTTGAAAAACCGGGGCATAAAAACCTGGGCATAAAAACCTTTCTGTGTCTTTAAGTGCTTACAGGATTGCCTTTTAGTTTTAGATGAATGCTGAATACTGACGGCTGCGTGGATTTCATGAAAACATCTTTTCCAGATTCTTTGCCATAAGAATAAAATTTTCTCAAGTTTAGAATTTATAGATTGTTAGGCACGCTATATTCTTTTCCAAATATAACTTTCACTCTTCATTATATTATGTAGTTAGAGCTAACTATATACTGGGTAAATAGTAATCCCTTAGGAACAGCAGGGAACTTTCTTAGGTGACAAAGTATTTGCCAGAAGTTTACCGAAAATACCATACTTGCCAGCAGAGACATATCAAGAGTGAGGCAGTGAGAGTAATCTGCCCAAGGTGCCAGCAATAAAGGGATGTAGGACTGTAGACATTTTTTTAAATGTTTAATTTATAGAAGATTTTAATACAATAATAATACTGATCAAAGGCCAATCAAGTTTTTCTTCACAGTTGTAAACTTAAACTATATTAGTTAAAAGTACTACCCCCTAAAGAAAATCTGATCATTTGTAGAGTTTACTATTTCAGAAGCATTTTTTCTTCACATGTATCATTTTTGGAAACTGGAAACAATTGTTCATTCTCTTCTGTCTCATTAAAAGAAACTGCTGCATAATGTAGGTTTATAGTAAAAGGACAAGATGGAATGCTCATTATAAAGTCACATGATATGGTTTGGCTATGTCTCCATCCAAATTTCATCTTGAATTATAGCTCCCCACAATTCCCATGTGTCATGGGAGGGACCCAGTGGAAGGTAATTGAATCATAGAGATGGATTCTTTCCCATGCTGTTCTCATGGCAGTGAATAAGTCTCACAAGATCTGATGGTTTTATAAATGGGAGGTCCCCTGCACAAGTTCTCTCTCTCGTCTGCTGCCATGTAAGACATGCCTTTTGCCTTCTGCCATTTTTGTGAGGCCTCCCCAGCCACGTGGAACTGTGAGTTCATTAAACCTCCTTTTCTTTTCTGGGCATGAGGCTCATGCCTGTAATCCTAGCACTTAGGGAAGCCGAGGCGGGCAGATCACTTGAGGTCAGGAGTTCGAGACCAGCCTGGCCAACGTGGTACAACACCATCTCTACTAAAAAAAATATACTAACGTTAGCCAGGCGTGGTGGCATATGCCTGTAATCTCAGCCACTTGGGAGGCTGAGGCAGGAGAATCGCTTAAACCTGGGAGGCGGAGGTTGTAGTGAGCTGAGATTGTGCCACTGCATTCCAGCCTGATGACAGAACGAGACCCTGTCTCAGAAAAAACAAAACAAAACAAAAAAACCCTCCTTTTCTTTATAAATTACCTAGTCCTGGGTATGTCTTTATCAGCAATGTGAAAATGGACTAATACACTGTGTATGCAACAAAGATAAATTTTATTTTATTTTTTGACACAGATCTCACTCTGTCAACCACAGCCAGGTGGGAGTATAGTGGTGCCATCTCAGCTCACTGTAACCTCCGCCTCCCCGACTCAGGTTACCCTCTCATCTCAGCCTCCTGAGTAGCTGGGACCACAGGTATGCACCACCACACTTGGATAATTTTTTGTATTTTTGGTAGAGATGGGTTTTTGTCATGTTTCCCAGTCTGGTCTTGAACTCCTGACCTCAAGCAGTCCACTTGCCTCAGCCTCCCAAAGTGTTGGGAATACAGGATGGAACACAGCTGCAATAAAGTGAAATTTTAAAAAGCAAATCTCAACCTCTGAAGTTTTGTGCAATCAAAAGAAAAGATATGATTTTTCTTTTCTGAGTTAGCTTGTTTTCTGGTGTAAACTAGAGGTTAATCATACACAAAAATATTTGCAAACAGCCAGAATCAGTCTCCAACAATGTACAGTGAAATTCTAAACTGTAAAATTGTCCCTTGAAGATAACCAAATAGAAACTGTGGAGAAGGCCACTACCCATGCAACTAGAACAAAAAATGTAAGGAAATATAAAACAAATTAGGAAAAGAAACCATTTTTTAAAGAATAACAGGAGACATGACAAAAGCACTGGTCTTATATTGCCAGAAAAATATAAAGAGTAATGTTTGAATGTCTTAATAGTTTTTTTCAAGAACCATTCACTTTTTCTTAAGAAAAGGATCAAATAATTTCAAGGTTTGCTGTTATTCAGCCATTTTCTCACAATACGTTATAGAAAAGACAGCCCACAGAGTGGTTGAAGGTATTGTAATGCATATAACTGAGAGGATCTTGCAACTAAAATATGGACAATAAGAACTTACATAGATTAATAAGAAAAAAGACTACTCAAGAGTAGTCTTTAGGAAAAATAAGACTACTAATTTTGCAATAGAAAAGTCCAATGAAAATAAACACTGAAAATGTGCCAAACAAAAATAATAATCAGGGGAATGCAAATCAAAACAGCAATGGATACACCCAGTCCCCCACCATTACGGCTACTTTAGAAAGTTTCATTAAGATCAAGTATTATTCTCATTTAAACAGCATATATACTAAAATTGAAAGGATACAGAGATTAGCATGGTCCCTGTTCAAGGACGACACACATATTTATGAAGTGTTCTATATTTAAAAAAATAAAGATCATAAGCCCACAGGACTATAGTTAAAAAAAAAAAAGAAATAAAAAAAGATCAAGTGTTGACAAGAATGTAAAGCAACTGAAACTCTCAAATATGGCTGGTGACACTGGTGACACTTTGGAAAAAATTGGCCCTATTTTTTAAGGCTTAAGGTTGCATGTCTTATAGCAATTTCTCTCAACTATGAATAGAGCCATGCATGGTCTGGGGTTTGTTTTGTTTTGTTTTGTTTTGTTTTGTTTTGTTTGAGATACAGTCTTACTCTGTCACTCAGGCTGGAGTGCAGTGATGTGATCTCAGTTCACTGCAACCTCTGCCTTCCCAGTTCAAGCAATTCTCCTGTCTCAGCCTCCTGAGTAGCTGGGATTTCAGGTGCCCACCACCACACCTGGCTGGTTTTCATATTTTTAGCAGAGATGAGGTTTCACCATGTTGGCCAGGCTGGTCTCAAACTCCTGACTTAAGGTGACCCACCCACCTCGGCCTCCTAAAGTGCTGGGATTACAGGTGTGAGCCACCGTGCCCAACCAATTTTAACTTTTTTTTTTATCATAGACTTATGTATATTTTATGGTAGTAAATGATAAAATAGACCAGTAACTACATGTATCTTGTGAATTCATGACCTTTTAATTAAATGTTTTGATACTTCTGGGCTACACAGTTCATTAGCAAGTTTTTCTAAATTGTCACAAATCTCCAAAAAAAATTCACATAGAAGTAGACCTGCACAATTCAAACCCATGCTGTTCAAGGGTCAAATATATATTCATATGAAAAACATCATTTGGGCTACTGTCTGGAAGCTGATGAATCTAAAAGAAAAGGTGTCAAGCCAACATTGAAAACAAAAATAAAAAGAAGATCATGTGATTTGATATAGCACAAGATACAGGGGATGGTCTGAACTGAGCACCAGAAGCACAAGTGGTATAGTCAACTTTCAATGATATATATATATTTTAGTTAACCATTACTAATCTTCAGTTTCAACCAGTTTACCCTTGTCTTCAACGTACTGGGGCAGTGGTCCCCTGCTAAGAACATAATTAACCTTTTGGCTTAAACAAGTAGTGAGAGAGTAAAGGAAAACGGGATCCTCACTCCCTGGGGCTCAGACTCCAGTTCTTAAGCTCCACATTGTCCTCTGGAGTTGGGGAGTTGGGGGAGA